TCGGGTCCTTCTGTACTAACTGAGACTTCCGGTGTGGTATTATTTTCAGGTACCTCTGTTTCAGTTGTTTCCTCAGTAGTGCTTGGTTCATATGGAACTTCGGTAGATTCCGTAGCTTCAGTAGTCTCATTTTCCTCGGGTCCTTCTGTACTAACTGAGACTTCCGGTGTGGTATTATTTTCAGGTACCTCTGTTTCAGTTGTTTCCTCAGTAGTGCTTGGTTCATATGGAACTTCGGTAGATTCCGTAGCTTCAGTAGTCTCATTTTCCTCGGGACCTTCTGTGGTAACTGAGACTTCTGGTGTGGTATTATTTTCAGGTTCTTCTGTGACAGTTGTTTCTTCCGTAGTGCTTGGTTCATTTGGAACTTCGGTAGATTCTGTAGCTACAGTTGTTTCAGTTTTCTCGGTACCTTCTGTGGTAACGGATCCTTCTGTTGTGGTATTATTTTCAGGTTCTTCTGTGATAGTTGTTTCTTCCGTAGTGTTTGGTGCATTTGGAACTTCAGTAGATTCTGTAGCTACAGTTGTTTCAGTTTCCTCGGTACCTTCTGTGCTACCTGATCCTTCCGTTGTGTTGTTATCTTCAGTGACAGTTGTTTCTTCAGTACTACTTGGTGCGTCTGGTACTACAGTAGATTGTGGAGCTCCAGTTGACTCATTTTCCAAGGGTTCGTCCGTGCTTACTGATACTTCCGGTGTGGTATTATTATCAGGTTCCTCAGTGACGGTTGTTTCTTCAGCAGTGGTTGGAGCATTTGGAACTTCAGTAGATTCTGTATCTACAGTAGTCTCATTTTCTTCGGGTCCTTCTGTACTAACTGAGACTTCCGGTGTGGTATTATTTTCAGGTACCTCTGTTTCAGTTGTTTCTTCTGTAGTGCTCGGTGCATTTGGAACTTCAGTAGATTCTGTAGCTACAGTCTCGTTTTTCTCGGGTCCTTCCGTACTAACTGAGACTTCCGGTGTGGTATTATTTTCAGGTACCTCTGTTTCAGTTGTTTCCTCAGTAGTGCTTGGTTCATATGGAACTTCGGTAGATTCCGTAGCTTCAGTTGTTTCAGTTTCCTCGGTACCTTCTGTGGTAACGGATCCTTCTGTTGTGGTATTATTTTCAGGTTCTTCTGTGATAGTTGTTTCTTCCGTAGTGTTTGGTGCATTTGGAACTTCGGTAGATTGTGTAGCTACAGTTGTTTCAGTTTCCTCGGCACCTTCTGTGCTACCTGATCCTTCCGTTGTGTTGTTTTCTTCAGTGACAGTTGTTTCTTCCGTAGTGTTTGGTGCATTTGGAACTTCGGTAGAATGTGCAGCTACAGTTGTTTCAGTTTCCTCGGTACCTTCTGTGGTAACGGATCCTTCTGTTGTGGTATTATTTTCAGGTCCCTCTGTTTCAGTTGTTTCTTCTGTAGTGTTCGGTGCATTTGGAACTTCAGTAGATTCTGTATCTACAGTAGTCTCATTTTCTTCGGGTCCTTCTGTACTAATTGATACTTCCGGTGTGGTACTATTTTCAGGTCCCTCTGTTTCGTTATTGTATCTACAGTGTCTCATTTTCCTCAGGTCTCTGTACTAACTGAGACTTCAGGTGTGTTATTTTCGATCCCTCTGTTTCAGTTGTTTCTTCCGTAGTGCTTGGTTCATTTGGAACTTCAGTAGATTCTGTAGCTACAGTTGTTTCAGTTTCCTCGGTACCTTCTGTGGTAAGGGATCCTTCTGTTGTGAGTATTACTGGTTCTTCTGTGATAGTTGTTTCTTCCAGATGTTTGGTCATTTGAACTTGGTAGATTCTGTAGCTACAGTTGTTCCAGTTTCCTCGGTCACTGTGGTAACGGATCCTGCTGTTGTGGTATTATTTTCAGGTTCTTCTGTGATAGTTGTTCTTCCGTAGTGTTTGGTGCATTTGGAACTTCGGTAGATTCTGTAGCTCGATTGTTTCAGTTTCTCATACCTTCTGTGGTAACAGTTCTTCTGTTGTTATTATTTTCAGGTTCTTCTGTGATAGTTGTTCTTCCGTAGTGTTTGGTGCATTGGAACTGTAGATTCTGCTCGGTTGTTTCAGTTCCTCGGTACCTTCTGTGGTAACGGATCCTTCTGTTGTGGTACTATTTCGGGTTCTTCTGTGACAGTTGTTTCTTCCGTGATGTTTGGTGCATTTGGAACTTCAGATTGTGTAGCTACATTGTTTCAGTTTCTCGGTACCTTCTGTGGTAACGGATTCTTCTGTTGTGGTATTATTTTCCGGTTCTTCTGTGATAGTTGTTTCTTCCGTAGTGTTTGGTGCATTTGGAACTTCAGTAGATTCTGTAGCTACAGTTGTTTCAGTTTCCTCGGTACCTTCTGTGGTAACGGATCCTTCTGTTGTGGTACTATTTTCAGGTTCTTCTGTGACAGTTGTTTCTTCCGTAGTGTTTGGTGCATTTGGAACTTCGGTAGATTGTGTAGCTACAGTTGTTTCAGTTTCCTCGGTACATTCTGTGGTAACGGATCCTTCTGTTGTGGTATTATTTTCAGGTTCTTCTGTGACAGTTGTTTCTTCCGTAGTGTTTGGTGCATTTGGAACTGTGGGTGTATACTCTGATTGTTCAGTTTCCTCGGTACCTTCTGTGGTAACGGATCCTTCTGTTGTGTATTATTTTCAGGTACCTCTGTTTCAGTTGTTTCTCAGGTGCGGTTCATATGGAACTGGTAGATTCCAGCTCAGTTGTTTCAGTTTCCTCGGTACCTTCTGTGGTAACGGATCCTTCTGTTGTGGTATTATTTTCAGGTTCTTCTGTGATAGTTGTTTCTTCCAGGTGTTTGTGCATTTGGAACTTCGGTAGATTGTGTAGCTACAGTTGTTTCAGTTTCCTCGGCACCTTCTGTGCTGATCCTTCCGTTGTGTTGTTTTCTTCAGTGACATTTTCTTCCGTAGTGTTTGGTGCATTTGGAACTTCGGTAGAATGTGCAGCTACAGTTGTTTCAGTTTCCTCGGTACCTTCTGTGGTAACGGATCCTTCTGTTGTGGTATTATTTTCAGGTTCTTCTGTGACAGTTGTTTCGTCCGTAGTGTTTGGTGCATTTGGAACTTCGGTAGATTCTGTAGCTACAGTTGTTTCAGTTTCCTCGGTACCTTCTGTGGTAACGGATCCTTCTGTTGTGGTATTATTTTCAGGTTCTTCTGTGACAGTTGTTTCTTCCGTAGTGTTTGGTGCATTTGGAACTTCGGTAGATTGTGTAGCTACAGTTGTTTCAGTTTCCTCGGTACCTTCTGTGGTAACGGATCCTTCCGTTGTGGTGTTATCTTCGGTAACAATTGTTTCTTCAGTAGTGCTTGGCACATCTGGCGCTTCAGTTGGTTCTGGTGTTACAGTTGTGTCACTTCCCTCAGGTTCTGTTGTACTAGCAGATACTACTAGTGTGGTGCTTTCTGTTGAACCTTCAGTAACGATTGGTCCGTCAGTAGTGCTTGGTTCTTCAGTAGTTTCTGTTGCTATGGTTGTTTCTCCTGGAACTTCCGTACTGGTAGGACCATCAGTAATGTTCGGAGTTTCGGAAGTGTTAGGAATATCCGTAATTGTCGGTTCTATAGTAGTGCGCGTTTCTTCAATTGTGGTACTTTGTACTTCAGTGGTGGTGGTAGTGACCGGTCTTTCAGTGGTGTTTGGTGAAGTAGATACTGATACATCTTGTGTGCTGGAGGCAATTGGTACCTCCGAAGTTATTGGTACTGCAGTTGTATTTCTCTCTCTACGTGTAGTTGTTGAAGCAGCGATAGTACTTGTTAAGGGCACTTCAGTAGTGCTTGTTGAGGAAACTATCGTAACATCAGTGTTTGCTTGATCTCTTAATACACAATTACCCGCGTTTTGATTGAAAACATATCCATCTGAGCAGGACAAATATTGAATCGTGTAAGAACCGGCATCATTCAAGGAGCAACTATAAAAGGTTGGCATATTATCGATGAACGCAAAGTACCCGGATTGCCTGCATGGATTCTGAAGAATCTGCCCACTAACTGCGGCAGCCGCCGCAGTTATTACAAATATATGTAATAACATCTCGTAAATATATTTCGTTTATTATTATTTATTAAGTATGTATAATTTTGTGGTAATTTTTAATTTAATCGAAAATTCTTTAATTTAACTAAGGATTTTAGATCCGTCTCGTTTAGTCGTTAAGAAGTAAGTAACTGGCGCATGCAACTTACTAGTAGCTTTTATATAAAATGTATGAACGTTAACCAAATCAAAATTTGTGATTACAACTCATTAACTGATAAAGCGGTTTCATGATAAACTCATACACAATATTAATATGCTCTTGGCCTTTTTGTAACATATTCTCCCACATATAGGTATTCTTTTATCAGGCAACATTTTTAAATCACCTGCAAATTTTCCAAGTGGTGGTAATTAAAAATAAAATGAAAAAATAAAACTGAAGTTATTGCTTTTTAATTGCGCTAGTCCAGCAAGAATCACACGCTCTCTCTTTCCGTGTTTATCTTTGGTGCTCAGCACAACACATTCGCAATCCAAAGAGCGTTTTAAGAGAAGATAGCAGAACTTTGCAATGCTTTTTAACAACGGACATTTCCTTTTGGAATTTAGATTACGCTTTTGATTACAAATATTAATTTATGTATAAATCTTTTTGCTACAACAACATTTACTACATACAAACATGCATCGATACGTTTAAATTTTATTAACTTCCTATTCTAAGGCGTACAAATATTTTGTGCTGTTGAAAAACTTTGACCATCCGCGCATTTCATGCCAACAGCCTTGAATTTGTCCTTCTTGTTGAAGCAAATGAAGTAATCGAAAAAACTTTCAGCCGCTGCTGCAAAGTTTCCCTCCTCTACGCAATTGAACGGTGTCTCGTCCTCCAGCGAAATGCCTAGCAGTTTAGCCTGTTCCTTTGCTTCTTTGGCCGCCTTCTTTAGTAGCTCTTTTTCATATTTTTTCCGTATTTTCTCACGCAATTTCGCTTCTTTCAGTTTGGCTTTCTCTTCGGCTTTCAACACCTTCACTTCCTCACGCACGTACTCCTCGTCGGGTGATTTACTCATATAGAGTTCATAGTTGAGCGGCAAGTCCTGCAAATTTGTCATATCTGCGAAACATTTACCCAATTCGTGTGTATAGATTTGACCATTACCACATTTAATGTGATAAATGTGATACGCGTCAGTCAGCCGAGATGCTACACACCAATAGTAGGAAGAATTGTCGTCTGGATTGGCGAAAGTACCTTCCAGTTCACAGCGAAACGAATCGGCGCATGGCGAGAGATCACGCGAACAACGCAGCAGCGCTGGATTGTAAGCCTGGCCGGTGGGACATGGCGTTTGTGCTTTAATCAGCTGATTGATGACTGTGGACTCACAGCTGATAAAAGCGCGACAATTATTCTCTGCCGCATACGTACCGGGTTCGGTACAAGGCGATTCCGTTGCAACAACTGGTGTAGTAGTTGCCGCATCCGCATTCGCGATCTCTAATTCAGTAGTTTCTGTCGCCGTATTATTTTCCACCGGTTCCTCCGTTATATCGCTCTCGTTCTGCGTCGTGTTGATTTCCGTTTCTTCTAGTTCATTCGAAGCCGACGGAATCGTAGTCGAGATTTCTCCATCCACTAATGTCGTCAGCGCTGGTTTGGTCTCCGTAGTAACTAAGTCTTCTAATTCCTTCTCTGCCACTGTTATAGTTATAATTTCATTTTCATTTACTTTAGCGCCGGACTGAGAATATTCCAAATTTCCTTCTATCTCAGCTTCTATTTTCGTTGCAGGGATTTTTGATGCAGCTTCACCTCCAGCTTTACCTTTGAAGTCAGCTTCGGCTTCAGAATCATTTGACTGAGAAATATCTTCACTAATTGCACTTTCAAGTTCCAATTCGCTTTCGGAATCATCCGACCGAGAAACTTCAACATCAATAGCGCCTTGAAGTTTACTTTCGGAAGAAGAAGATCCTTTGGCTTGTGACAACTCTTCGCTTAAAGATTCTTTAGACTGCAGTACTGTTGAAATTGAGCTTTGATCTTCTATTTCCACATCGTTTGTCCCAGATGTTTCGATTTCCACAGCTTTGCGTAACAATTCCTCATTTGATAGGCCTTCAAATATATTTTGAACGGTGTTGACATTAATTCATAACAGAGTAATAGTAAGAAATAGATTTTTAAAATTACCTTCCACATCTTGTTTCACAAATACTGTTGACTCCGTATCCTTGCCATACTCGTCGTCAACCGGCAAAACTTTTTGTGCCAATGTCCTTGGTGTTAGTAACTGCAATGTAAACTCAATATTTCAAAAATTCCAAACTTTAAATTAGAGACTAAAATGTTAAACACACCAGTAGGAAGCTGCAGAGTACTAAGAACACCGTTATCGCTCGTTTCATTTTATATATACGAATTATTTGAGAAATGTTGCAATTCTGCTAAGCAGTTTGTTAGTTACTGTTAGAGATGCTTGCATTGTAATGCAATTTATAGCTACAGTTAACTGCATAAGGTGGCACATGGCTTTTCGTCAGAATTTTGAAGTGTGATATCCATTATTCGCAATAAAATCGTCAGTTTTACCTCCACTTTTTCTTATGATTAGGCTGGTGATCTTTGTGAAAGAGGTTGTGAAGGTATTGTTTTTCAGCTTTCAATTATTTCTTATTCCTTTAGAACATATATCCATCCACACTACAATGCCCAGCTCAAAAATCTATTTTCCGATTCAATTCGATTCTCTTCGTTCTTCATTCTGTCATACAAACTTAACGAACTAAAGCAAGTCCTTGTATTTGGCGAAATATCTTGTATCTAGCATATAGCGGCCATATGAATTGACCGATCAAAATCGCGTTCTTGTATGGAAACCTTTTTTTATTTGTGAAGATGTAACCGAAGTTAACGTTTTTTTCTTATTTTTAACTCAAATAAGTCGAACTTTTTTCTTACTTTAATTTTTCACTTTTTTGCATTACATTAATATAATGAAAACCTCAGCCGAGTCATCGTAGTTTGGTGGAAGCTCTAACTGAGCGAACGTGTCAAGTGTGTCCCCAGTAACGCCAGGAATTAGCGACTACGAGACGATGCAATTATTTTCAATCATGACAACGCTCGTCCTAATGTTGAAAGCCCGATTAAACACTATTTGGAAAACAGCGGCTGGGAAGTTTTGTCTCACCCGCCTTCAAGCCTAGACCTTCCCCCTTTTTACTACGATTTGATCCGGTCAATGGAGAACGCACTCACTGGAATACGGTTCCCATCAAATCAGTGTCTCAAAAATTGGCCGTATCATTTTTGGCCGTCAAGCCCGCGCAGTTGTTTCGGGATGGAATCCACAAATTTCCAACTCTGTTTGCGCAATTTTTGACTAAAACTCATAAGCAAAAAATATTAGTTAAACCTTTTTTAAATTCCAATTTATGAGAAAAATATCAAGGAAAGTAAGTAAAGCTCGGAAACTTATTGAGAAAAATTACGATGGGCATAAAAACTCAAAATTATATACCACGTGTTGAACCACAAACAGTCCTACTAGCATTATTTATGCACATTTATATATAATTATTATCATACAAATTAATCTTATTATCTTTCGCAAATATGAAAACTATGTCACCTTAAGTGTCAACGTATTACATTTTTGAATGGAGCAAAGCAATTGCTGCAGTCGAACGGAATTCGTAGTGTTCATCCCACTTATTGACATAATCTACTATACATATACCTATACATGAGTACAAATATATATGTATACTCGTATATATTTGTATCTATATTCTCAAGATGTAAATAACTGCTGTTTTACGTCGAGTATTCGCAGGAGTTTGGCTAAATATTTTGCATTGGTGGAAGTAACGTTTTTATACCTCGAACAGGATATATAATATTAAGTTTGCCACCAAGTTTGTAACACATAGAATAAAACGTTAAAGACCATGCAACATAAAGTAGATATATAAATGATCAGCATGATGAACTGAGTCAATTTAGACGTGGCAGTCTGTCTGACCGTATGCTCTTAGGCGGACTAGTCCCTCAGTTTTTGAGATATCGTCCTTAAATTTGTATGCGTCCTTTTCTTCCCTTAAAAAGCTACTCATTTGTTGGAAGAACCGATATCGGACCACTATAGGATATAGCTGGCACACAGAGCGGTCGAACTTAAGTCCTTGTGTGGACAACTTTTTTATTTGACAAATTATCTTCACGAAACTCGGCATGGATTATTGTCCAAGGCAACGCTACAATATATGAAGAATCGGACTAATACATCATATATGTAGCTGCGATACAAACGGTAGGATCAAAATCAAGATAAAGATATTTTTATTCGCTTTTATGCAATAAGCAATGCATCTGTGAAGGGTATTATAGCGTCAATGCAGCCGAAGTTAACGTTTTTTCTAGTTGACATTTTATTTGCTCGCTTTGAACTTGTTGTTTTTGGCTTAAGCAGTTAGTTAGTAACTCGGAAGAATATTTACAATCTATTTATGTGCGTATTTTAAAAGTATTTACTTGGTTTTATATTTATGAAGGTACATAAAAAGTTTGCAAATGAATCACTCGGGTTTAAACAATAACAGGATTTTAGATTTCATCATAGATGCATATTTACTTATTTAACTCCGAAAACCCTATATAAAACTGTATATACATATGTATGTATCTGAAAATGTCAAAAATTAACTAAGAATAAATCGCCTCAAACATCCTTCTTATGCGTATTCCCTTCGCGATCATTCAATCGCAGGTTAACAATTTTATCAACAATTTTTAACTTACCGACCGCTTAGCGTGGACTTGAAGTTAAAATTCACTTATTCAGATTCCAAAAATGTTACTACAAACGGTCATAGCTGCGATCATTGCCAAAGTTTTTATTAAAAAAAAAATCGATTTTCTCTAAATTTCGAGGCGAGCTGACGACCATCGATAGATTATAAGATGTGCCCTGTATAGAATAAATTAATAACACACGTTAAAAGATTACTACTTCAACGGTTCGGAGATCTTACACGATATCATCGAGAAGTCAAAATATAATCAGCTAAAAACAGTTTAGTACGGATTTCGAATGGCAGACACCTTAATCCCATATAGTACTGAAGATCCTACTGGAATCATATTTTTATGAACTCAAACGGAAAACATGAACTTCAACGTTTTGTGTCCTATCCTAGATTTTCGGCATCTTTTAAAAACATGGTATTAGTAATCTTGCCGATAGAATTTTTGAAAAGTAAAAAGAAAGGCCGATCTTATGCAGAAACTATTAATTGTTTAGGACTTTAAGGCAAATAACAAATAAGCTACTGGTGCTTAACAAGGAATAACCACTTGAATTAAGAAAATATCTGATAAATCTGTGTTCTGGAATATTTACTGCTTCTCCTTAAACAATTATTGTGTAGAGATATAGTATGAGTCAGTTATCTTCAGATTGTATTTTAATCTCTTAACACACTCAGCCGTGATAAAAAAGCGAAATAAATATTCAATGTAAAACAATTTCGTAAGTTTTGGCTACCCTCTGAGGGGTAGGGAAGTGCGTAAATACATTTCCGCTAGACTTGCCAAAATGTTTACCAAAAATAAAATTCAACACAATATATTCACACCATGTTTATAGTATACATACAAATTTTTGCTAATCTTATCAAAAAAGCGTATCACGTCTTGAGCAACATGATAATGTGGTGTACAGAATTCTCTCGACATATGCAACACGATATATTTCACCATATATTTTTGGATATATTTAATTGGTATATTAAATACTTGCATGAAAATTTTGAACACAATGTCTACAATAAAGTTTGTACTTTATAAAAAGTCCTAATTTTTTAGGTAACTTGTAGGAATAGCTGTCAGAATGAGCCCAAAAGTTTAGGTTTTATGTTGCGTACAGTTTGGCAACCATAGGAAATTTTACATTGAAACAGTCTTTAAAATTGTGCGCGGCAAACTTAAAGAGTATTTCGCGCTCATCGGCAATAAGATACATTTCTGAGTTAATGACTAAATTTAGCGTTATTTTAGTGCAAACAACCGTAAAGAGACTCCACAGGCAATCTTGCATTCAAGAAAAGTTACTGCCGACATGCCAAAAGCTACTTCTAAAACTGAAATTATAGCAAACATAATAGGACTATAGAATTCTAAATCTGAAATTGTCAGATATTCCTTGTCAGGTTTGACCGTTCAAGAGCTTATCTTCAAAAAAGGAGTGAGGTTGTTCGCTCTCATTAAAAAACCCGTTTAAGCACTTATGTAGTACATATAATACAGTTATCCAAAAAGAAATCTAAAAGTTATTGTATCTTGATCAAAAGTCATATTACGCCATTTTTTTTAATTCTATAAAATTTTGATTAAAAAAGAACCTGCTTGTACCCTAATTACCTCAGCTAAAAGACAATGTTTTAAGGTACAATTAACTGAAATTCCTAAATTTTAGAATAAGTAACAACACAATAGAGTTTAAATAATAACCAATCGGTTACTGGTAGTATCTCTAATGATATTGACTTAAAAAGATAATATAAAAATTCGATATTCTTTTGGTTGCAGTTTAATTTTATAACATTTTGGAGGTATGCTAAGGCTCTTGGTTGGATATACCATAGTCCGATTAGATTCCTTAGAATCATTCGGTATAAAGGTAATTATATTGTATAATTAAAGTTAACAAACCGAAGAATTGCATTAAAGGACCTCCCTTGAGTACATATATGTAGATTAAACATAATAAGGTTAGAATCCTGAGCAACAACTAAACATTATAATGCATACCCTAAAGAGCTGGTTCTGTCTAACTGAATGATTTCGATTTTTCGCGGATGAAGGCATAGCAATTCAGACCGGGGGGTTTTACTAGAATTTCTTCCGTCATACTTAAATTCAAAAATTCGTTTATGGTTTAAATTGATGTCGGATAAGTATAGCCTAGAACGTGTATTCTCCAACGCAGTTATGGAATACAGCTAATGAACTTTCATATCACTTGACGAGAAAAAATACCTCTTCGAAGTTATATAAAAATGATGAAAAGCAGACTCAAGAAAAAATCATATCGCAGGATTTCTTGTGAGTTGAAACTTAATAACCAAATAGAAATATTGTCTTGTGACACTTTAGCCTCGAATACTGTACAGAGTGAAAACTCACAACTGATCAATACCAATCACGGAGCGGAGTTTGGAGATGTTCAATCGTAATAATTAGAATTCTTGAGTGGATTTGTGACAATGAATGAAACATGACTTCATCATTTGACTCCGTAGAGATCAAATAACAGTCATCCGTGTGGACTTTATGCGATTTACCGAATTCAAAGCACGCGAAAAAGCAACAGTCAGCTGCAAAAGTTATAGCTATGTTTGGAGTTGCTGTATGAAATAAATTTCACTCACTGTTTTGAAAACCTTCAATATGCTATTGGAACGTTTGGAGAACGAAATCTCAAAATGTAATTGGTTCGCAAAACTTTAAACACATTTTTCTCGAAACGCTGTTTTCAGAGCCGGTGAGGAAAATTTCTTCAAAACGGCTGGACTGATCGACGTGAAATTTTCACACGACCTTCTTTTATATATATTTGTCAGGTAATGAGCGAAGAAATACAAATATTAATAATAATTTAAATAAAAATCAAAATTCTAACTTGTCTTTCGATCATTACTCGATCATCTATTGTTATAATAATTTTGTATACCCTGAACAGGGGTAACTAATGTCACAGTATCTGTAACACCTAAAAGGAAGCGTCGGGGACTCTATGAAGTGTATATACAAGTATAAATGAACAGCGTAATGAGATGATTGGATTTAGTCATGTTTGTCTTTCTGTTCGTCCGTCTTTCTGTATATATGCGAACTAGTCTCTCAGTTTTTGATTTGAAATTTCGCACCGGTCCATTACTCACCAAGAAGCTGCTCATTTGTCTGAACGGCCGATATCGGACGACTAAAGCATATCCTACATACAAACTGAACGATCGGAATCAGGTGCTTGTATGGCAAACTTTTTCATTTGAGGAAATAATCTCACGAAATTTAGCATGAGTTATTGTTTAAGGCAACGGTGCAATCTCCGACGAAATTTTTCAGATCGAGTCCCTATAGCATGTAAGAAGAAATCTTTTGTATTTGTGTTAACCCTTCAGTTCTTGATTTTTTGATTTGAGATAATTTTAACTGGAAGAATCTTCCTCACTGCTTTGGGAAGGTCTTTCTGGAGATGTTTCTAATTGAATCACCGATTATTAAAATACATTAAATTAGTTATTGAATAAAATGCCTGTTCAAAAAAAATTCACAAAAAACGCGGCTTTTCCTGACTAGCAGGTGCATATAACCCCTTAACCCATCAGATAAGCGATCATATAGTCATCACTGTTACTTTTCAGAAGAAAAACGAAAGCTAAGAAAGCTTTTGGCAAGCGATTTTGTCAGTGTTGAGATAATAAATAAAAGCTAACGGGATTAAGCACTGGAAATACACACATCTCTAGCAAATACCTACACATTTATAAGTCCATATATAATATTATATATACCAATATATGTATGTGCATATATGTATATGTCAATCCAGTTATTGATATCCCTTGCCTGGGTTTATCTTAGTTAGTTCCTATTTTTACTCATTCTAATGCATTTTATCGCATTTTGATTGACGTGATTGAAAATTATATATTTTTTTTATCAGTTTTAGCAGTAGTCCATACTGTTGCGTCACTTGGCGAAAACTGTTGCATACATTTGAGCGTACGCGCGCGACGAGTGTGTGTTAAGTGGAAACGTTACAGCTGAAGCGCTGACAAAAAACATATATATATATATTTATATATATATACAAAAAATTATACAATATATATGCATATGTACATATAATTATGTATGTATGACATGTAAATAAATATAATTGAAGAAGAGCAGCACAAAATGTGGTGGACGCGTCCCTTACGTTTCTCCCTGTACGTCCCACATGCAAAAGATCTAGCGCGTATCAGCTTAAGATAAATGCCAGCAGTCCCTTCTTTCCTAAGTATGAGCAAACTCAGCATTCATTACAAATACACAGGCAGCTTTTCGCGCTTTCTCTGGCTGACGACATCAACAATGTCACAGCATCGTTGTCGTCATCGCCATTACGAAGGGCTGCTGGCTGGCTGCGCAATTATGCGGGCGGCCGCCAGATCAGCGCGTCTGTTGACTATTATCTGCAGCGGGGAGTATGGTAATATCCACATGCTTCATATGCATACATATATATATTTGTGTGTATATATATGTATGTGCGTGTGATACGTGTTTGTGCTTGTGTGTGTGCGTGTGTGTGTAGCGGCAAGAATGCTTGATGATTATGATGATAATTGTGGAGCAAACTGGCGGTGAGTGAACGTTTTATATTTTCAGTACGATAAGTGACATGATCAGCTGCAGTAGTGGATAAAGAAGCAACAATTATTTAAGGCACTCGTTAAGGCAGTTGATCAGCGGGCAGCGCTCTTAACACACACACATATATATGTACTAAAATATACCCATATAAATAATATAGTTACGCGTATTACTAGCGTTTTATTTGCACATACGCTTGCTAGTTGTTGTTGGTGCGGATGAAATTTTAATTTAAATACTACTTGTATAATTAAAGTGAATAAGTGCGAACGGGCAAAGAAAGTGAACAGAAATAGTATCATTACAGCTATATATAGTATATAATATATACAAGTAAATAATATAAAAATAAATATATATACGTTTATAAGTGTGGAGATGTATGGATAAAATTGGCTGGCTGATACAAGAACAGTGACAAGTGTTATGCTAGCTTCGTCTATCGCGGCGCATCTGCTAATCTCCGCTAGGTACTTTCTAGCGATAAGCGAGTCTTTTATCAGTTCAAACAGCGGTTAATGCTGCTGCGTGAGTGTGTGCAATGAAATTTGCGATGTTGACAATATTTACGATGTGAGCTGCTGCCGTTGCTGTTGCTGCTGTGAAAGCGCCTGCACACAAACACACAATTTTAATGAAGTAGCACCTCTTGGTGGAGCCAACACCAACATACACACATACATATGCATATAAATATTATATATATGTTTATGCATATAAGTAAATACAGAAATATTAAAGAAGAATAAGCATACAAATTGGGGATAAACATATGTAAATCAAGGCAAGCGTGCGAAGAAAGTAACAAAAAGTGCAAACGAAAATAAGCAAGCGCAAAAGCTAAGCGAAAGAAAAAACATAAAAAAAAAACAAAAAAATTAAATAATTAATAAAAAACATCAAAAAAAAACCAATAAATTCAAAAAAAATACTCTTTGTCTCGAAACGTTTTAGCTGCACAAGTTACAAATTACACGTTACAAGTTAATTTTAAATACAAGTCGGTGTTTTTGTTGTTATTGCATTTTTTATTTAATTTATTTTATTATTGTTGCTGTTTGCTTGCATTCCACGCATTCAATTGAATGTATCGCGCTCTGTGGTGGCAGCAATGAGTATACCGGCGCGCGGCAAATGGACTTCGGCGACTGCGGTGGCGACAGCGGGCGTACAGCGCAGGCGTGTAATCAACAAACACATTCAACAGAAGTATCTGTTATGTGGGTTTGCCATACATGTACATATAAACTATATTACTTACAATATATCATTTTATAAGCAAATTTGTAATTATTAAGTAATTAAGTACATACCTAAAAAGATATATAGTATATAAGTATGTATGAAATTTATATGACACATGTTTATCGACAAAGCGCCAAACGAAAACCGGAAAGCAATAACTGCATTCGCTTGATGTGACGTCTTCACACGCTTTATACTTCGAGTATTGACAATATTTTGATTGCCTCAAATTTACTGTCTCTCGGAATTTTTTTCAGCTGTCGGAGGCTATTGATCTTGAAAGCTAAGAAGATTTGAAAAGGCATATCGCTTGCGTAATATAAGGTCTAGTAAACAGTAATCCATTATTTTTGCACTAAATTGAACGTTTTATTTAGTTAGAATCAATCGATTTAGGTGAAATATACACCGTTTTGATCGATAGCTTGTTAGCATTAGGAACGTAATGTTATAATGCCAATCTCACAGAAATCCGCGAGTAAGGTGCATGCATAAGAACATCCCAAGCAAGCTCCTGCTGGAGCTTCTGGCGAGTTGCTAGCGATGTGTGTGGGCTGGCGTTGTCCTGATGGAATACAATTCCTCTCCTTATAGCTAAAGCTTGACGCTTCTGGGCGTTATCTTCCTTTAGAAAGTCTAATTGTTGACAGTATAAATTCGAATTAAGAGTGTGGCCGTAGTGGAGGAGCTCAAAGTAGATGATTCCACTACTACATCAACCCCTTCCTGACAGTAAATCTGTGCTTGGCCGCCGTTTGCGCCGGCTCAGCACAATGTGACCACGACCGTTTCCGCTTGATATTGTCGTACGTGACCCATTTTTTTATCACCACTAACCATACGCTTCATAAATGTATCGATTTTGTTGCGATTCAGCAGCGATTAGCAATTGGAAATTCGGTTCATAACGTTTTTTGCGTTAACTTGTGTGGATCCCATACATCGAGCTTCTTTTATATCCAACCGTACTTAAATGGTACCAAACTGTTTTTATGACATGTTTAGCTTCCGGACAATCGAAAGAGTGCTTAAATTACAAAACTGTCTAAGAATATTTTTCAGGAAGAATTCTTATTTTTCTAACACCATATGTGTAATCCAATCGCAAATCCAAATCGGGGGTTATTATAAATTTCAACCAGATTGTCTGGTAAATACCAAGTAGACTGATCATAGAATTTCTATGGAAGAGAGCTAGTTTATTTGAATTGAGAGAGAATTGAATAAATATGTTTTGTGGTTTGATCTTAATTTCACAAAAAAAATGGATAAAATGGGTAAGAACAGGAACCCAGTGGAAGACAAAGAGATAAGAGACTATTACCGTAAAAGGTATCAAAACGTCCATTAAATTGTTTTGGATGACCCAAAAATGAGGTCGATCCTAAAAATTCGCACTCTAAACATGTTAAAGAAACGTGTTGGACATCGTTCATGAATGTTTGGATATGCGAAAGCTCTGTCCAAAGTGGATGCCGTGCGAGCTCAATATCAAGACAATTCACTCTCTGTCTCAAAAATCAATGAAAACGAAAGCGAAATTGTATGAAATTGGGCGTCGTTTCGCTTCCGAGTCCACCTTAGTTTTTCCCAACATCCTTAACCTATTAACACGTTTGACTGTTGGTAGATATTTTAGTCTAAGTCTCATATGTTCGTTAATCTTATTATTGTTACTATTGCGACTATTGAGAATAATTACTGAAGTCGGAGTTATCTAAAGGTAAACCTAGGCAACAAGTTGGAGATTTCATGGTTCATGCAAAGAAGTGAAGAAATAGAGTAATAACCTTAATCTGCTAGCACGTTTGTAATCCATTGTATTATCTCATTTAGTTTTATTACTCACTAAATTATCCTTTTAATTATTACTATTTTAACTTCGTGATTTTTTTTGCTTTTAGGCTTTTCTTGCCACGCCTGCTTATCTCTATGGCAATGTCGTGGAGTCGGATAAGGATTTAGTGCTGCGCATCTGGCCTGCAATTGTTTATCAAGCCACGGGGCAGATTTGTCGCTCCATTCTGGAACATCTAGATACAGAGTATCGGGGTCGTGAACGTGAGACCACTCAATATCGGCGCTTCTTTCTTTGTGCCACGCTCACCACTTGCCTCTCGCTAATGATTAGCGGTGTATTATTTTCATCGGCTTGGTTTATTGTTTCAACAACAACACAAGCAGTAGCAATAGTATTTTATGGATTATTTGCGGGTAAGACTAGATATAAAAAAATGTTAACGGTACGTTTATACAAAATCCGTAAAAAATAAAATGCGATACATCCGACAGTAGTATTCTAAAGATTACCTGCGATGATTTTGAATCCATTCGAATTACTTCAAACAATTTGAGAAAAAACTAGCAAGCGGTATTTGCTTTAACGAACGAAAAACCAAGCTAACTCTTTTCAAAAGGGAGTGCTTATTCAATAACAATCTCCTTGACGTTATTCCAAAGTAAGTCCCGGGTTAAAAAATGTTCCTGAATTTATCATGAAAAATTTTACTGTATAAGAAAACGTATTTCTTTTCTGCTCTTTCGACCAATCTTAACATTATATTTACAAACAATATGAAGAAAGGAAGGAGGAAGGAAAAACATTAACTTCGGCAACCTTCATAGGTGCACTTCTTATAGCATAAAAGGGTAGAAAAAGATGTTTGTTTTGAATTAAGTCGGTCTGTAGGTATTAAAGCAATATGCTTAACCTTTTTATATTGCCTGTAACAATAGTCCATGCCAAATTTCGTTAAGATATCTCGACAATTAAAGAAGTCTTCCATACAAGGACTTGATTTTGATAGAACAGTTTGTATGGCTATGGTTGCTATATCCTACAGTGGCGGTTCTGACAAATTAATAGCTTCTTGGAGAGGAAAGGCAAGTGTGCAAAATTGCATATATACAAATGTATATACTTTATAGTCTCCGAAGTTTCTTTTTGGATGTTACAAACATCGTGGCAGTTTTAATATACAAGGTAACGGTATAAGAAAAGGTAACGAAAGCAAGAGGGGTTTTGGCTGAGGCCAAAAGAGACACAAAGTTAGCAAAGATTCTCCAGTTTATCTCAAAAGCAGATGAGTCTCTGTTTAGGCAACGTATTGGGTGATATTCACAACACAGGAAGACACGGACTACTGTTTAAGGATATTTCATTCTAATAAACTACTTGAACAGAATCAAAAAATTTGTATAAGAAACAAAAATAAGTTTCATGATGGGACTGAACTTTGGATGATAGTAGTCAATGATCTAACAGCTAGTGTCAAGAAAGAACCAATGACACTGTCTTTACATAGCAATGGCTACTACATTAGACCGAGACAAACTACAGTTCTACTTTTGTAGAATGAATACTAGTCGGAATGTAACGGGATTACATAAAAATCTTTAAAACGAGATGCTTTTTTGTGAACATATTTTTTTCAATCTCCTTCACTACTATAATGTTCCAAACTTCTTTGATTTTATCTTCCTAAACTTTCAGGCATTGGTTCTAGTCTCTTCATTTGGAAGACCCACGTCATTTTGGAAGCGGTACGCCCGCGCGAAGATAAGTTCGTACGTAAAACTATACACCTCTGCGGCGAGGCATTCTGTCAGCTCTTTCTCTCATTTGTCTTCACCAGTCTACGTACACTTTACGGTACAGCACAGTCGATAGTATTGATGTCCGCATTATTAGTAAACCTCATACCGATCAGTTTAATTATTACACGTCATCGTGAAGGTTCCATCACAAAGCGCATTTCGATGATCACTGCGGAGAGTTCCTTCCCGCCACTGCATCATCAATTGGGCGCATTCCCGCCCAGTATTGCCGATCAAATCGATGGTATTGATGTACAAATGCCGCGAATTTGGAAGAGTCCGCTACGCGAACAGCATTCGGGAACCGCGACAGCTGCACTGTTTTCAGCTGAAGCACGCAACAACTATATGTTGGCTGCAGATGAGGCCTACGTGACCTTTGTTAATCCAAATGGTGTAGAGATTATGGAAATCATACCCGAGGAAGATGAGACTGTGTCTATGATGCGTGGAAGCTCAGCGACTATTGGAAAGAGTCATAACAGTGTGGCCGCATCACAAAAAATCCATCAAAATGCTTCATCGAATGGATTACAGCAAATGGATGAGACGGCGGGCGCGGATAAGACAGAGACCGATGTCACAGAAGTCAGAAAGTTCGTAAGTAGGATATTGATTTTTTTTTAAAGTATACGATATAAATGAATATTACTTTTTTATATCTGTAGTATAAATTTCAACGCATATCCCGTTACGTAACTACAAATATTTGGAAGACTTTGAAAGAGAAGACTTTTCTGCCTTTGCAGCGTGCGCTCTTGGTGCCACGCCTCTACTCAACCACACTGCTAATGTCCGCGGACATTTTCTCTTATGTAATGTGCCTAACGGTACTGCCGGGATTGGCGGGGACTCATCATGCTATCAAAAACGCAGAAATACCATTTCTCTTTTCACTTTTGGCCTTCCCATGGATGTGCTTCTCGTTGATGACACCACGCTTCGGCAATAGTTTGTATAAACGCAAAATCGAGTGGCATACCTTGGGTAGCGTTTGTAAGGCTTTAGCTCTAATTCGTAAGTAAAACTAAAACTTTTAAGCATAATTAATAATGTCTATTAACTATTTCTCATTTGTCAGTCATTAGTTTCTCCACGTCGAAGCTTCAACTGAGTGTATCCTCTGTCTTGTTGGGTTTCGGTCAAGCGGTAACACTCTTCCTGCAGGATGTCGTCTTTCAGCGCAGCATGCCACGTGCTCAATGGAATGCCATACGCTACCCAGTACATTTTACCAATGGTCTACTCATGTTCGTTTGGGGCGCTTTGGCGCATTGGGTTGTGGTAACGTTTTCTTTTCAGGTGAGTGTACATACATCCTTAGATGGTAACACGACTACGTCGAAATAAGTACAGTGATCTAAGATTGTAGCGTTGCTTTAGGTAATAATCTTAATTGAATTTCGTGGAGACATCTCGTCAAACCAAAAAGTTTTCTGTACAATGACTCGATTTTGATCGAACAGTTTGTATGACAGCAATATGTTACAGTGGTCTAATTTGTGCAATTTGTTCGGAGTTTATATTGTTGCCTAGGACAATTAACCATGCGAAATTTCGTGAAAAATGTTTTTTTTTTTTAAATAACAAAGGACATGCGCAAAACAACAGACACGGTATTCGATTGATTGAGCAAAAACAGACTCCGATTCATTTCTGAGTCTCGGTTTTGGTGATTTGCACCCATAACTCTATCAGTTGAGTAACGTAAGACGACTACGTTATTGATGCAATATTTATTGATAAAACTTTTGCGAACTTGTTAAGTACCACAAGAAAAGCGGAAAGCTGAACGTAGAAAATAGAACCTGTACAGTACGGAAAGTTACTAAAAATAAACAAATTCGTATTTGCCGCGGCATGAAAAGGTAAACGGAAAGGATTAAAAAGGAAACCTGTGCAAAGCTGTTCAGAAAATGCATAACTAGTAGGAAGTCAGTTATTTTAAAGAAACACATAAAAATATATAATGGAAGGAAGGTAAGTTTATCTTGAAGCTCCAATCTGAGAAGATAGAAATAATGTTCCATTGCCCAACTCTGAGGAAGATCTGGTGAGATCGTATCCATGCTTATACAAACAAAACACGTCTTGCAATATGCAATAGAGAACTTTTATTAAAGATTTAGCAACATCGAGTGAATAGATCGGGGAATAAAAATACGACGGTTACCCTGATTAGGACACATTGGAAAGGAACAAAGGAACAAGCTAACAATTAGCACTCAAGAATTCTTAAAATGTTTAAGGACGAACGCCAACTTATGAAACAAAAATTGCCATATTGCGTGAACTCAGCTATCGAAATTGGAAAATTATATTATATAAATTGAAATATATCACCACCCCTTTTTTACGCTCACCTTTTTTACCTATTTTCATATGTATGTATATACTTGTAATACATACTTATGTACGTACATAAATTTTGAGTTTTATGTGTTTTATTAAATATCTTTTTCTTTCCAGGCTTCTGTGGGTTTGGCGGGCATGGTTTACGTTATAAGCATGATAACTTGGAATATGATATTTGTCTGCTGCAACACGAGGGATTGAACAAATTTTACAATATTTTCGATTTTAAGCTAGCTGGATCTTATAAAAGTGTTAGCCCTCAAGTAGTCCTGCGCATTTAAAAAGAAAAGTATGAAACTCTTGCAACGAAGTAAAAGTTAAACTTGTCAGAGGAATGTTTGAGGTTAGAATTAAATAAATTGTTCCTTTCAAATTTAAAATTTTTGATAAATTGTAATTTTGTAAAAAATTTAAAATCAAATAACGAATAAAATTATAAAAAAAATTCTAAGCTTTAAGTATTTTTTATTGTACAGTTAAATAAAATTTAATATTCTTTAATTAAGTATATTCTCATAATTATGTAATTTTGTAGTTAATTAACTTAATGTTACAAAAATTAATTTGTTTTATTTTTAATAAATTTTACAATATACCTCAATGACTATATAAAGTTTGAAGTTTTAATACTCATAAAATATTAATTAATTATCTAGAGTTAGTTTCAACTGATTTGTACAACTTTCAGAACCACTCTTCTCTTCGCAAAAAAGTTGTTTTCAAGATTGTTGTTTAATCAGCGGAAATTATTTTGAGGAAGCTTATATACAATAAAGAATTATGTTATAACATTATTATTTACAACATTTTATTAAAACGTGAAGTAGAATAAAATAAACTTAAATTGTCAACAAACATATTTCCTTTTTTTACCTGAGAATATTTCATAAGAGCCGGTTCGCAGGGTTGTTATATTACTTAAGGGAAATTTGGCATATGGCAACTCAAAAATAAATATCCCATATAAAATTATATTTTTATGAACCAAACTAAGCTATAAGTATTTAAATTTCTCATAAATAATTATGAAAAAACCAAAGTTAAAAAAAAATTTAATTGAAGTTTATAAATAAAATATTACAAATACGCAATTGGGAAACAATCAAACAAAATTTCCCCAAGTGGCAACAAACGCGAAACAAGCAGTACTGCCAATCGTAAAAAGCCGAATTCCATGTGTCACTTTTCACAATTTTTGCGAACAGCAGCGGCTTTTTTTCTCAAGCGTAAAGAGAAATTTTCGTATTGAAACGCAGAAAAATTCTATATTAATTAATCTAGTGTGCGCGCTACTAAAATAGAAAAAGTCTTCATATTGCATTTAATTACTTGTGAACAAATAATTTGTGTAGTCGTTTGAACGCTTATAATACTATGTATGCATCAATACTAAAAGCGTGAGCATCAAAACCGAGAAAAAATTTGTCTTGTCGGGGTGAACCTCTGTAAATGGCTAGAGAGATTCCGAGTTCCAATACGGCGCATTCCATTCGCGTTCACATTGATGATGTACATTGAACATACACCTTTGGAAGATAATCTGCAATTTTTCGTGAAGAATCACATTCCCGCCAGTGACGCCAACTCAATACTGGCGCATGTACGCGACGTTGACGAAACTACTGCTACACAACTGCAAACGCAGACGCAAAATAACGTTGCCTACTCCGGTTATACCGGACGCTTGAACGTGCTCAAAATTAGTGAAGCTCCAAGAAGCAAAGTTCCAAACATTGCAGAACAACACTATCAAAATATTTATTTAGCTAGAAATAAAGTGTCACCGCCAGGTGTCAGAAACCGTAACGCTGTTTCACCAAAACTTAACGGCATCGGTAAGACAGCATACGAAGAAGAGGAGGGGGAAGAGGATGAAAAATATGAATTAATTGACATTGTTGATGAACAAGAAGAAACAGTCGATACAAAAAAACTTAATAAACAACAAATAGCGGAATCTCAAGTGAGATGCACTGAAACAGAGCACACACCTGCGACAGATGAAATTATTATACAAATAGAAGACGAAGAAGATAATTACGAATACTGTGTGCAGCCTGTAGCTAAACAGCGCAAATATAGTGAAACTAAACAACCAAATAAAGTAAATATATTTTTTGTGCATATGTAGCACAATATCAATTTTAAATATCAATTTTATTTATAATGACAGGTTTTTGGTCAACGCAGACAGGTGAATTGCGAACCATTGCAATCTCGTAAGCGACCTTTACGTCCAGTACCGGCAGCAATTCCCATAACAACTTGGCAACACGAGTTGGAATTACCGCCATTAGAACTCATACCACCGCAACCGCGCCGCCAACGAGTATTGAATGGTAATTTGCCACCAATACAACTACAGCGCAGTGAAAGCACCGAAAGTGTTACAAGTAGCTATCATTTGACTGAGGACGACGTTGAATACGCCGGACAAAATTACGCAAACGGTTATCGTACGCGAGTGCAAGCCGAAGAGGAGGCAGAGGAAATAATAGCAGAGATAGAAGAAGACTACGAGGAACACTACACGCGGCGGGAAGGTACACCGGGACAGCACAACAACTCACAGATGGGTATCGATATATTCAACAGACTACGCCGTTTGTTGAACTTAAACACCAATTCTACAGGCAACACACAAGAGGAGCAATCACGAAAAAGGTACACATGACATAATACTTTTGGAGTATGCACAATAAATAAATTCGAAACTGTCTTATTTATTTCTTTGATTTGAACTGTTTTTCTTTTTTTTCAGATCTGGGAACTATTCAGCTGATGCCAATCCGCATCCAATAAAATATAAAAAAGTACACAATCGTTTTCCTAAAATTATCACCCACAGATTGGATGATGGTAAGTGTTAAGATTATTTCCTATCACGATTAATGCTTGAGTCTCCTGTCGTTTGCAGCCGATTTTGATGTGATTTCTACTTTTCCTCAACACGAGAAGCAAATGTTGTCATGCAAGTTGCCTAGTAGTGCTTCCAAAAATACGGTAGAGATGACACAACGCAAATCATTACACTCCATTGGTTAGTGAATCGTAATCGGCATGCAAAATCGCACGGGAGAGTTTTACTTTAAAAACAAAATATTGTCAATTATCTCTTGCAGAAAAACCCAAGTATCGCAAATCTATGTTTACCGCGCCTACAGTTACACACCGGTTGATAAAGAATACGTCATACGCTGATGTGGAGTTTTCCGATGATGATGAACCGCAATTAATAAAAGGTTTTGGCATCGGTATAGCAAGTGGGTCGAACTCAAGCGATGTGCGCGCACGTAAAAAAGTACCACATACGTACAATGTGCCGATTCTGTGCGAAAGTGAGAGCGCTCGAACAGCGGTCTCAAAACCGCCTCCACCACTCATTGAGCCACGCACGGGTAGCATTCTAGCGACGTCACTAATGCCGGAGATCGATTTGACGAAGCGCAAAACCATGTCTTACTCGGATGTTTTGCGACATAACCTACAAATGCCCGGCAGTGGTGGGCACGTACTGGGTAGACGTTCCGCTAGTTCGGTCTCCTCTTCTGGCGCGACATGTAAGCGTTGTAAAATTTTAAATTTTACACATGTATATTTGATGAGTGAAATTTGTTTCATTTACTAAAGCAGCATCCAATGGTGGACTGAACATTTTGGGTAACATACGCTCCAATATGTGGTCGACCAATGCGCGTTCCATACTCACACAAGAAAAAGAAACCGAAGAGCACGTCAAGTATCAGCAACTATTAGAGCAGGTTGTGCCCTGTTTATATGGCGCTTCCGAGTCTGCAAATGTGCGTACATTAGCAAAGCCAGCCTTTAGATTCGATGGACCACAAAGACGACGCAGTACATTGCACGACAATAGTAACAACCAGAAGCCAATAACTAATCAGCGACAGTCGTTGACACTGCAAGATAGCTATACGCGCGCTTTAAAACGGCCACCACTCTCGTCTACCATTAATCTGGATGATGATGATGACGAAGATGAGGAGAACAATGGGGATGTCACCTTTGTAGGTGTGCAGCAACGACGTCCCGTGCGTAATGGTCTGTCAACAGTTATTATCGACGATGATGAGATCAGTGAAATAATTGATTTGGATGATGATGAGCAGCAAGTGGTGTCGGCATGCACAAAACTGAATGAACAAAATGCGAGTGGTACTACGGCGGGCACAAAGGATAAGAAAAAAAGTGCAATGCGGCTGTAAGTCAACTAACTGCATATGTGCATAGCAAAAATAAAGCAATTATTTTAAAATTTTCCTAATACATAGGCCCTACGTCGAACCGGTAAATACGTTGCAAGAACGTTTCAATACATCGCCGCATTTGAAAGCCAATTGGTTGGAGGCGCTGCATACAAAATGGACTGAAAAGAAAAAGAGCCGCCTGCAGGAGGTCAACGAAACCGTCAATGTGTAAGTGCTCTGCGCGCATGTAGCTTTTAAATTCCTAATGTGTTTGTTCTTGTTTCTTGCTTTTCAATCAGTGTGGAGAAGCTAACGGCCGAACGGCGCGCAGCCGAGTTGGAAATGCATGAACGTCTACGCAAAATACAAATAGTCGATCCTGATTTGCTAGTGATCGATGACTTCCCAGAACCAGAGGTAGAGGAGGAACCTGAATTTATCGAATTAACGCCAGAACATCAAGCCCGCATAAAAGCGGCTGTTATAGGTTCACCCGATCAGGTATATAAATTTAAGTTACTTCAACGTAGCAATAACATTGAAAGTAATATTTTTATTTTTAAAATTTTTCCATAGGTTCTGGTTTCTAAATTCAACTTGAACATTAGCCGTCGCGATATACACACTTTGATGGGCCAAAATTGGCTAAACGACGAGGTTATTAACTTTTACATGAACCTGCTCACCGAACGTGGTGAAATCAAACATGATTCGCACGGTTTACCCACGGTTTATGCTATGAATACATTCTTTGTGCCGCGCTTACTATCAGCCGGCCACGGTGGCGTGAAGCGTTGGACGCGTAAAGTGGATATATTCTCCAAAGATATAATACCGGTGCCGGTGCATGTCGGCGGTGTACACTGGTGTATGGCAATTATTCATCTGAAGAATCGCACTATTAAATACTACGACTCCATGGGCACACCAAATCCCAGCGTGTTAAAAGCACTCGAACAATATCTAAAGGATGAGTCGTTGGATAAGCGAAAGCAACCGTACGATACGAGCCAATTCGAAATTGAATCGGTGCGTGATGTGCCGCGTCAAATGAACGGCAGCGATTGTGGTGTATTCAGTTGCATGTTTGCCGAGTATATAACACGAAAGCGAGAGATAACCTTCTCGCAACAGCATATGCAATATTTCCGTCACAAAATGATATTGGAAATTGTCAATGGCGAATTGTTGCAGTAACGCGACATTAAAGCCGATATGTCAAAGAAATATATCACCTGAGAATTAGTTAAACAACAACAACAACAACAACATAATGAGGTGCGTGTGTTGGTAGCACGTGAAGAGTGGCAAAAAGGCATAACAAATTTCCATAAAAAATATTTTAAAACTTCATGCGTGCAATTTGCAACGTACACATATGTCAAGGCAACTTGCAAGCAACAACAAATTCATGTCAGCTGTTGGCAACACCTAAATATGCAGTATATATAAAAAAAGTTAGTTGAAGTGAACGCATTGGCGCATATACATAAATATATTTTCATTTGAGACAACAACAAACGCTAAAGAGCGCGTTCGACTACAAGAATAACAACAACACTACTAATTGCTACTATACATCAATTGCTGTCTTTTTTTGGGGTTTATTTATTTTCTTTCAGTTTAAACAAATATTCAATAATGCAGTTTACATTAAATTGAGAATTTCGCGCAATAATTGCACCTATTTACTCTACTATTAATGCTATTAGTATCTTAATTACAAAACAAAAAAAAAAAAAAAAGATTTTGCAAATACAGAATTCGATTTAAATATATATTGTAATGTTCAATTTAAGTTTCTGTGGTAAAATTTATATTTTTAAATATTTGAATATGTTATTTATGTATTGCGTGTGCAATTTCTAATTTGCTATAAACTCAATCGTCATGTGTATTTCCTATAAAAACGTGTAAGTCTTCGGATACGTGGCAAAATTTCCACAGAAAACGCAAGAAGTGTGCGCGGAGAAAGCACAAACGCTTTTAATTTCTTATAAAATTTCATTATAAAGCAGAAAGCAAACAGCGCTTGGGTTCTATAAAAACAAAAACAACAAAAAAAAGCAGAGTAGTTATAATTTCAAATGGCAAGCAACCTACTACATAATTATTAATTTATCTGTCTAATATAAGCCGTCTACAGTTATAAGGTAGCATTTCTGAATTACTTACATGCATACGTATAGTTTTAAAGAATAATTTGTATGTCACTGATTTAAAAAATAAATACTATAGAAAAAAAGTAACATCTTGTTGATTTGTTTGCAATCGTTTTTGCTGAAATAATCGATATTAATCGTGCTTCTCTACTTGCAACGACATCTGCTGTTTCGTTTACAAAATGTTTTCGCTGTAATTTGTTCTATTAAAGCAATTGGAGCTATGCATATTCGCAAGTTTGACGCAACGTGTTCGGCTACAGCATGTTTGATAGTACAGTGTGAACTCGATAACATGCCTATTGCATGTTTACTAAATACTGTTGTTGTTGTCGTAGCGACAGAAAACACTCCCCAAACAAGAAATAACGTTTCCATACAAGTACTTGAATTCGATCGTTCAGTTTGTATGGCAGCTACATATATACTATATTCGGAGATAGTAGCCGTTGCCTTGGACAATAATCCTTGCGCGTTCGGACCATAGAGGAAAGGGTGTTAGATGAGTTGGGTTTGTTGCGCATGCAAAGAGGTGGTTAGTATCATGCGGAGCCTCATTGCACGCAGGACATATGTTTGGCAGAGAACTTAAAACAATTGTTTTAAGTTCTCTGCTTGATCTACTTAGTTTATGACTTTGCGTGAATGAAGGTTGTATCAGTGCTTCAATTCAACATCACATTGGTGTTACACACACGTAGGCGGTAAAAGTGGGTAACGTTGTTGAACCTCTTTAGTCCTTTTTTAACAAACTTGAGATCCTGTGTTTTAAATTCCCTTACCATCTGTTTTGCATGTGATTATACAGTCCGTTCTTGAATAAATGCTTTTACCTACTCTAGGTTTTCAGCTTCCCTTGAAGATGCGGTGTTTGATTTATCTCGGTTGAACCTGTCTCATCAAGCTTCCACCCTCATTTTTTAAACACTTCAATGGATGAAACTTACTTTCTAGACCATATGTTCCTAAAAGGCGATTGATTTGAGCAATCGTAAGCAAATGCCCGTTGTGGCTGGCTGAATGATTCAAAACATTGGCTGGTGTTGAGCTTTCAAACAAAAATATGAGTGTGTTTTTTCTAAATTTTATTTGTATAATTTCCGTACCTGCTTCCTACATCAAAAAACGAATGAAATGCATATTGCTACGCGAACAAGTTCTACTCTAAATATAAAATTTGTTACTTTGGTTATATGCTGCAGTGTTTTTGCTGTCATATACTATATACACACATAGTACAATACATATGTTAATATATACATATGTATATAGAAATGTATTGGAGAATTTATGCTTAGAAGCTTGTTAATTGCGAAAAGACAACACTGAGCAAATGCCTGACTAATGACGGCATCATCGACTGCCTTCGCAGTATTGCTCGTACATTTGGCGGTAAATCTTGCGAAACAAGAGTCAAAAGCGTTAAGAGACAACGGCGCTTGTTTATTTTGTATACTACTACTCGTATAATATATATATATATGTATATATATAAATGTAAGTATGTATGTACAATATGCATATATGTATGTTAGTTTTGGAACAGAATGTATTACCTTATGAATATTTATGTAGATATATACATACATACATACAGACACACATATACATATACATATATACACTTGCTGACAAGCGTGTGTGTCTTACTGCTCGCCTTGATTTACTTAAACAAAATATAAAAAGCGTCTTTATGACCGACTAAACGAAAGTAAAATTCACAATACACACATACACACACACATACAAATGTACATACCATATATTCATAGAGGGAAGTTAATTTGTATGTATTTGTTCATCAAAATTTTGATCAATCTTTGCGCTCTAAAAATTGTAGGCGGATGAGTGAACGCTCCTACACATGAACTACAACTAGAATATAATATTTCCATTGATATTTTTTCTAAAGTATATGTGTATGCATGTATATTATACCCTGAACAAGGTATATTAAGTTTGCTACACATTTTGTAACACCCAGAAGGAAACGTTGGAGACCCTGAAAAAGGATATGCGTATATAAATGATCAACATTAAGAGCTAAGTCGATTTGGCTATATCCATCTAGCTGTCCGTCGTTCTGTTTGTATATAAGCGAACTAGTCTCTCAGTTTATGAGTTATCGATCTGATATTTTGCATACGTCTTTTCTTTTTCAAGCAGCTACTCCTTTGTCGGAACTGTCGATATCGGATCACTATAGTATGTAGCTGCCATACAAACTGATCGATCAATCAAGGAAAACTTTTTTTATTTGACAATAGATCATTGCTCAAGGCTGCAGTACAATTTCTGAACAAATTGTTCAGATCGGACCACTATAGCATATACATAGCTGCCATACAAACTGAGCGAACAAAATAAAACTCTTGCAGAGACATTTTTTGATTTGTGAAGGGCATTACATTTTCGGTGCAACCGAAGTCTACATTTTTTCCATAATCCGATATTTACTTGCAATTTTGCTGTTTGTAAGCCTTTAACTGTGTGCATTTGTGAGTGTTTGCTCTAGTTTAAAAAAGCTCCATTGATCGACGGCAGAGAACAACTAACGCGGTTTGATTGTTCTCTCTCCGTTAATATTAAAGATATATCTTTGATCTCGAATACATACAATACATACTCGTACTTACAAACATACATATACTAACAAGTATTAGCGTCTTTATTTTGCTCAACATTAATCGGCGACGAGATCACTCATGCGCTTGAGAATTGTTTTTGTTTTGGTTTTTTGCTCAGCGCTCATATGCTCAACCACTTAAATCGCCATCGTCTCGCTGATCACAGAGCTGATCAATTTATAATGAATGAATAAATGAAACGAGCGGTGTCTTGCAGATTGCAGTGGGATGTATGCACTAACATGTACATATGTATATATGGGTGTTTGTTTGTAATTATCTGTTGTACTATATGTGTATTAAATGAGCTCAGCATCATCATGTCTGTGGTCTTTTGGAAGCGTTTGCTTGATTGTAAGGTGAGTGGCGGAATATTCGCCTCGTAGAACTTATAGACAATTGCAATACATACATACATACACTCTTAAGTATGTTGTTGTTGATCGTGTTGTTGCGCTTCGAATTCGCGTTTTATTGCTGCTTGCCACATCGAAGTGTAATTGTGCCCATATGGTCTTGCAACATCTGCACAGAATTAAGTTTTTACACATATTTATAATACAAATACATATGTACATTCGAATTTGTGAATAGGTTGTGCGACGAAGCAGTGATTTCGCAAATAATTTTAGAGAGCTAATGTTTTTGTTAAAATTACGGTTCGTGTGGTTAATAGACGTCCATTATTGTTATATTAAGTCTAGTAGCATAATTGGCATGATCCGATTAAGCTCAAATATGCAGTGTTTTACTTTATAACGTTTAACAGTTTCTATAAGGTAACTTCATAATACCACTCTCATAGAAACCCTCGTCATTATTGTTAAATTCTCTTTAGGCGAATTTTTCACCAGGAAAATCATTCGTCAGTCACGAACAGGTCCGGACTATAATATGGATGCAAAAGAACCCACAAATCGATGTGTGTGGCCGGACGTTGTTTTGATGGAACACAATTCTTCTCCTATTGGTCAAAAACTGCGGATGTTGTCCAAAAAGGTGAATAGTATTATATCAACACTTTTTTGTTCTTTAGAACAAGGTTGAAGCACTTTATCTCTCCCACTCAGGTTGATCATCTAGTATTAAAATTATGTGCTTAGCATTTGTGAGACTAACCTTTTGTGCAAAAACAAAGGTCAACATTTCTTTTAAAAAAATCAGAAGTCACTACTAGTATTCTATATCGAAATTAAGAAGAAATTACTGATGAGTATTAGTCAAAAAAGTTTAATTACGTAAGTTGATTTCTAACAACCGATACAAGAGTTTGTAAATATAATAAAAAAGAGCACTTGATATTATAAAATTTCTTTATTTTAGAATATTCGACATCGCTATTTTTGAACATTACAATTCGATTCTAATGGAAACAGGAAGTGACGAATGTTATTTGCTGTTAAAAGTGATGGTGACAGTTCACCGTATTAACTTATTCAACGGACTTCCAGGTATTCAGTTTCCTAAAAAGGGAGATATAAGTCGTAAGCTGAGTTCACATAATCCCACGCAGAGGTATATAGTTTCTGAGTCATTCCATACAGTATATGTAACGCTAAGTTCTATTGTCGAGGTTATTTATATTTTTCGTTTTAGTGCCCATTTGGTATGGGATCTTAAGACCACTGAGCACCGAAACCGTAAGTGGGTGCAGGATGGTAGTATACAGTATTAAAAATAAATACATTTGATCAGTTATACTAAGTTTATCAAGTAGTTTTTACACCTTACATTCACAATAGGTGCACACTCTTCTTTGACCTAATGGCTTATTTAATGAGCAAATTACATTGTGTGCGATATTTTAAAAAGTATTAGTAGAAATTTTTGTTTTCTTGAGAAAGATTGCTTCAACTTTATGAAACTCCAACCGAAAGTGACATTCCATTTTTTAATGCACCAAATATCTTGAAAAGAATATGTGGCCCCGTCGAATTCGATAGATTCAGTACAAATATATATTTGGAATTAAATTTTCTCTCAAGAGAAATACTTTGGATGAATTAGTGCAACAATAATGACATAACTTCAGTGTCTCTTAGTTTTTTCTTTTAACTTCAGCCGATCTCTTAGATTAGAGTAATTGCGTCTAGAAATATCGTGGCTACATTCTTTATTTGTGTGCTAATATTACCCAACCAATCTTTCAGTAGTATTATTTTAACGAATCCCTTATTATTTGTTATCAACTTATAATAAAGGGCGCATTTATGCCAATGATAATATTTTATTTCTTTATAAATGTTTTTGCGCAAAAGGCTCTAGTAGCAAAAATATTAAATATACAGAGCGTATCAATTTCCAATAGGAGTTTTGAGGTGGGCATGTACATATGTAAGTAATAAACTTAGATCAGGATGAATAATAAGTATCATAATACTTTGTGCCAATGTTTGTAAATACTCTTCAGTCAATCGAGAATGTTATCTGGAAGGTA